GCTGAACCAATAGAGCTCTCATCTTTACTCTCCATAGGCCGAAGTCGTTCTTCCCGTTGAATTTCTCAATGTCAAATTTGGCAGAACTCATTGTCGTGGCTAGGATTTCTTCCAATGAATTCTACCTGCTGCCCTTCCAAGAACTAAGCTGAAATCACTAAAATGCTGTACTATTGTATAGCAACCAAACATTTTCAGCTTAAACCTGCCTTTTAACGCCTTGCTGTCCAAGAAATTCTCAGCTGTCCAAGAAATTCTCACCTACTGCCCTTCCAAGAACTAGACTTCTCCCCGTGAACTCCACCACCTTCGCCAACCGAACGGAGAGCTCCGATCCCTTCTTTCAGAGATCACACCTGTTCACCGGAAAAAAATTGTTGTTCTGTGTTCGCGCAGTGCTCGGGCTTCCTTCTCGCAGACACTCCTTTGCGTCTAACGGAACAAATCAAGAATTCCTCCTCTGCCTCTCGCACGAGAATAACTGCCTCTCCAGAGCTATCGCGCCTCGCCAAACTGCCCAGGTCCTTCTGCCTCCTGCTTTGCGAACTCCCGAACAGGGAACTCCTTGAACCCTTCTCTGCGCGATCTCTACCTCTTCCCTCTGGTCGAGCTGCTCGCAAGGCAAGACCGAACTCCTGCTCCGAAATCCTCTGTTGGCAGCTCTGTCGCAAATTTTCGACCCTTGCTGGTGGATTGTTCCTCCTTCGTCTCTCTGAACCGCACAACCTGCGATGCAAATTAAATCTATCAAAGCTTCCACTGCTCATCGAATCTGTCGCGATTCGACTGCCTGCGACGCGATCTGCTTGCTCCTCTGTTCGTGAATGTCGAACTCCTCTTCTTCATCGCTGGCCGTGAACACCTTTACGCGGACACCTCTAGCCAAGAAGGATCTTCCCACAGACGGCGCCAATTGTTGTGAGATATGTACTTCCTGGCATAGAAACGAAACGCAAAGAACACAAGCAAACACAGATCGTTTACGTGGTTCGATCCAACTAGATTTATGTCCACGGGAGGGAATCAATGATCAATCAAATAGTTCACTAAGACAAAAGAAATGGAGAATACATAGCTTAGACATAGAGATGAGCCCTCATCTTCCTTCTATAGCCTCTCTCTCAAGCGACACCTTGATACAAGGCCTCAAGATGCTCTCCTCCTCTCTAGCTCTCTAGCTATTTTCTCCTCATTTGTGGTAGCTTACGATCTCTCCCCTTGCTCTCCTAAGCCTCACACTCTCTCTATTTATAGAAGTAAGAGAGTGGCAGGGGGGGGGTAGGGGAGCAGTAGGGGAGATGGGGGAGGGGGGGAGCGGTACCACATTACAAAAGTGTCCTTTTACCTTAGTTCAATAATTGGGGGTCAAAATAACAACAAAAATATTTATTTGTCCGGTGGTCTTTTACAAGGCAATTCCAAGTGAAATTCCAAAGTAATGGGTATCATTTTGATTTAACCCTTGAGACTTGTTATTTACATTTTTGGGACTCGAACAGTACTTAAAAGATGCTATTCTTTTTTTCTATAAGTATTCCATGTTCTCCTTTTATTAATAACAAATAAGAAATTATCATGATTCTTTTCGATTAAATGAAACCTCTTTAATTCATTGTTTATAAATGGAATTGAGAACTTGATTATTTTGCTTGCTTCTGTATTGTTTCTCTTATATTCTAAGTCTACTTGATAGAATGTGTTAATAAACTTGCTATAATTTTGTTCTTATGTAAGTCATTGTTAGGACGCCCGCAACCCTGATCACCAACGCGCATCACCCCACACCTCTTGCCCACCACCCCCCACCACCCCCCCCCCCCCTCTCTTCATTCCCTTCCCTCTATATTTCTTTATTATAAGTTAGATCATTTTTTTTTAGGTGGCAAGAATGCTAACAAGCTTGCTAATATTTTATATCTTGCAGCATCAGATGCTCCAACCATTTCTTTAGGATTAATTACATCCCCTGCCACAATTACAAGAAATTCATTGAATACTACTCTTTCAGCTGATTTAATTCCAGGAGCGGATCTAAGGTCTTCATATGTCAGTAAACTGAAAACTGGGGATGAAAAAATACTATCAACCACTATAATGGTAAGTAATTTTGGTTCTATGACCTCTCTTATACATTTTTTTTTTCCATTGTGTAGTGAGTGAGAGAGAGATGGAGGGAGAGAGGAAAATGATTTAATAAATGAAACTTAAGAGTACCAAAAATGTCTAAAAACAAACCCATAAAGCGCAAAAATAGGTAGTAGAGCTAAAAAAGGATCAAAAAAGTTACATCAATTAGGTTTGATTCAACCTTAGAGATGTGTCGTGAGACACTAATGGAGCCAATCTATTGAGTGATTCAAGCCATAAGATAAAAAACCCAATTTTCTTAGAAGGCAAAAAAATATAAAACCAATTAATTGAAGAGCAGAGAAAGCACAACAAAAGTAAAGGGTCAAAGCAAGTTAGAAGAAATATAGCCGGAGACATAAATAGTAGGAGCCATTCAAGCGAGCAATTCTTGATGTCAAAACTCAGAAGATTCCCAAAAACAAAAGGAAATAATCTCAGGCAATAATCATGACAACAAATATATCCATTTTATCTTCATCGTCACCCCAAGGTGTTAAAAATCAAACCAGGATGGGATACCAATAAGATGGCCATCAAGACTATTAAGAAAACCAATAGCTAGATATAATGTGATATAAAAAGAATTTGAAGCCAAAAAGCCATCCAATAGAAATCCTCATAAAATTATTTGATAGTTCCATTGTGCACTTTAAATATTTAATTATATTGCTTCACTTAATTTGTATGATGTTCAAAATAGCCAAGTGATTCAAAATAAGAATCTTTTAGAATCTTTTGAATCTTATTATTTCTTTACTTGCAAATTTTCTAAAATACCAGGATAGTTATAAGCAAATAAATTCTACGATTAAAAATAATGTGATAAATTGAGCTAAATTCAAGTACCAAGTTTAAGATAATTGGAAGAAGAATAATTTCGGCCATAGGAAAAGCAGCCTCTATGAGCACAACAAAGAAGGGCTAAGCTAAAAATTCAAAAAAATGCTAGAATGGGTTTCAGAGTTAATCGATAGTGTAAGGTAGACAATTAATTTAGATTGATTCTCCCTGCAATGAATTATCCATCATCTTAAATCCCTAATTACATGCCATCTAAGAATACATGATAAATTATTTAGAATATTTATTAAACCAAATATATTGGCCACTTAGACTATAGGTAAGTGAGCATGTAAGGATTTTTTTTTTCATCTTTAAAAGACAAATTACTCCTTCATTTTCATAAATTAAATTAAATCCAATCATAAATTCCAAATTATTCTTATAGAAGCTTGGGACCAAGTCGTAGAGGGCCTACAGAAAAAAAAACCCAATTTTTATTATCAAATATAAAAGATAAGGCTGCATTAAAGTGGATGTTGAGAAGGGGGGAAACATGAGTACCCAAAAGCCCCAAACTTGACCCCTTATACTACATGCCATTAATTGAACTGAAGGTTGAGCCGTTTTCTACCTCAGATGAAAGCAATTCTCGCAAAGAATTGGAGCATGGTTTGAGAGAATGCTAGCATGAAGAAGGATTATGGTGTTTATGGAACTAAAGAATCACATAAGGACCATTTTACTGCAAGTCACGAAATTTAGATCTTTGAAAAGAAATCCAGAGCACCATCATCAGACAAGGATTTAGAATATAGGGGAAGGACAGATAATGCCCCATTTCTAAAGAATGAACAATATTCTTTCAAATAATACAAGTGGTTTTTCATAAATGATAACGATCAGTTAAGGATTTCAAGCATCAAAAGTTGCAGAAGAAGTATGGACAGATAATCCAGTTAAGTTTGATCACTTACGAATTTTTGATTGTCCTGCCTATGTGTATGTACCTGGATATGAAAGATCAAAACTTGATCCAAAATCTAAGAAGTGCATTTTCTAGGCTACAAGAAAGATGTCAAAGGATACAAGTTTTGAGATCTGATTGTAAAAAAAATAATGATCGGTAGAGATGTCGTTTTTAATGAACGGTCCATGTTGCAGCAGAATCAAGTCAGAGAATAGTTCTAGTTCAGATACAGTGCAGATGGATTTAGAACAACAATCCAAAAAAAACTGAGACAGTTGAAAGTTCAAATCCAACACCTGGTGATTCCAATACAGATGATTTACAAAATTACAATTTAGTCAGAGATAGACAGAGACGCGCCCATGTAAAAATTTCAAGCAGATTGGGTTATGAAGACTTGGTCTCTTGCGCATTCTCATCAGCAATGATGATCTAACCACTTTTTAGGGAGCTATCACCAGCCATGAGAAAGAGAAATAGATGGGTGCAATGGTTGAGGAGATGGAGTTTTTGCAGAAAAATCATACATGGGAGCTAATTCAGTTTCCCGAGAGAAAGAAGACTATTGGGTGCAAGCGGGTTGTATAAAAGAAAAGTAGCTATACAGAAAAAGAAGGAAAAAAGTTTAAGGCTTGACTGGTAGCAAAGAGATTTTCACAGCAGAATGGGGTAAATAATGATGAAATCTTTTCTTCTGTGGTCAGACATACTTCAATCAGCACAATGCTTGCATTAGTAGTTATTTTGAATTTGTATCTGGAGCAGATGGATGTCAAAATTGCATTCTTGCATGGTTATCTGTAGGAGCAGATTTACATTGAGCAATCAGAAGGGTTCACTTAACCTAAACAGGAGCTTCTGGTTTGCAGATTAAAGAAATTGTTGTATGGGTTGAAATAGTCTCCAAGATAATGGTATAAGCGGTTTGACTCCTACATGATTCAGATTGGCTGCAAGCGATGTGAGTATGATTGTTGCGTCTATGTTAAGAGCCTTGATGATGATTCTATTTTTTTTCTGTTACTGTATGTTGACGATATTCTAATTGCTGCAAAGAATATGTATGATGCCTTGGTTTGAAAGCTTTATTGAGCCAGAAATTTGGCACGAAAGACTTGTATTCTACAAAGAAGATTCTTGGAATAGAGATTTATCGAGATAGAGACTCAAGACAATTATGTTTATCTCAACGAGGCTATGTTGAGAAAGTGTTAGATAATTTTGAGATGGGCAAAACAAAGCTTGTGAGTACTCCATTTGCAAATAATTTTAAGCTTTCTTTAGAATAGTGTCCGAAGACAGACAAGAAAATCAAAGATATGATAAAGGTTTCATATGTCAGCGCGGTTGGCTGCTTGATGTATGCAATGGTATGTACTTGCCCTGATTTGGCTCATGCTATTAGTCATGTCTGCAAATACATGTCTAAACCTGGAAGGTGATATTGAGAAGCAGTTAAGTGGATTTTCAGGTATCTGAAAGATATTGTAGGACAATTACTTTTTACAGTCAGTAGATTGATCCTTCAGTTGTGGGGTACGTGGATTCAGACTATAAAAGTGATTTGGATGACGTAAGGTCTACAATCGGGTATTTGCTTACTTTTGGTGGAGGGCCGATTTGTTGGAAATTAGCAATTTAGTCTATTGTGGCATTATCTACAACTGAAGCTGAGTGCATGCCAGTAGTTGAATCTGCTTAAGAAGCCTTATGACTTACTGGGCTAGTAAATGAACTGGGTGTTGAGCAAGGTGAAGTTAAGTTGCATTGTGTTAGTCAAAGTGTCATTTGTATGGCTAAGAACTAGGTGTACCATGCGCGAACTAAGCACATTGATGTCAGGTATCACATGATCAGAGAATTAATTGCTTCTGGTGAGATACTGTTGTAGAAGGTTCATGCTAATGAGAATGCAGCTGATATGTTGACCAAGCCAATTACTATCAACAAGTTCTTGCATTGCTTGAACTTGTTGAATATTCACAGTTGCTAGACAAGCATGGTAGCCCAACCTACTTTGGTGTAAAAAACTCCTTGATGTATTTCTCCTAAGGGGCTGGATGTTCACCAAGGTGGAGATTCGTTAGGTATGACTTATATACTAGAAAAGGGACAGATGCTGGAGTGGAGCGGAGCTCGCGAGGGAAGTGAAGCGGAAGCATTTGTCCAATTGCGGGAGTTTTGTTATGTGGGTTGGGGGTGCAGGGCAACGCTCCCGCGGTACGGTACATGGTCAGGGCTATATATATATGATATATTGTAACCCTAAGGTATTATGCACTCTTTTTCTGAATTAAAGGAAAAACCGCCGTTCTGCTTCCGAGGACGTAAACATTTTTGCCGAACCTCGTTAAATTTTGATGTTTTTTTCTGGATTAGTGTTGATTCTTATTTTTCCTTACCCTAAAATTCTCAACAATTCCTTATCACTCAAGTTCAGTGAGATCTCATCAATCATGATCCTCAGAAATATGGATTGAGGCCCATGAAAAAGTCATCCATGATTTTGAGGTAGTGAGTTGATTGGCTGCAATGAAGATTCTATTTTTGTTAGCAATCTTTAATATAGTCGATGTGTTCTAATGGCAAAATGGAAAATCTGGAAAATTATTCATGATAGGGATCAAAGAGAGCTTCTACGGCAGGTTTTTAATCATAGTCGATGTGTTCTAATGGCAAAATGGAAAATCTGGAAAATTATTCATGATAGGGATCAAAGAGAGCTTCTACGGCAGGGTTTTAATCAAATAGTCTCTCTCTCTCTCTCTCTCTCTCTCTCTCTCTCTCAAAGTTCTGCCACTAAAAAAATAATGCCCTGGTGTGCAAACCTTTTCAAGATCTTATAAGCAGGAAAATTCTAAGAGGAAAATAACCTTTACCAAGAGTAAGAAGCTTAGTCTTACTTTTAAGTTGGACGTATAGAAGGTGCAATTACAAGCAGTATGCCCAATTAATGAAAGTCCCCAATCCAGTGCTCCAGCAATAAGATTTAATTGGGAAAAGACGACTTCCTTTCGTATGATATGAACAAAATTTAGATCAAGTTCTGGAGAAGGAGCTATTTGTAGAGGTAGGCCTTCTAGGTTGTTGTCAATGCTGTGGCTGGAGCTGAATAGTAGATTGAAGAGCAGAAGTCTTAACCCAGGAGAGCCGGTGAGGCCATAGGGACCTGCAAGTGATCTATGTGAGCGATGTTGCCTGTAAAGAGACTAGTGGAAATTTTTTGTAGATAATTTTGAAACCCTAGGCCAACATTTTCACCATGGCTATTACTAAAAATTAGAACATGTTTCTACAATTTGTTCGCCCTCGCCCTTCTTGATTTTTTGTTCCCCTTGACTTTTCACACTCTGGCATAGCAATATAAACAGCCAGATATAACTTGTAAATTATTTGCTATGTTTTGACGCTGTTCACTCTTTTTGTTGAGTCTGAGAATTAATAGCTCATTATTCTATTCAGCGATGGTTCTTCAGAACTTTGTGTTCCATTAGTACTGGATAGGGAGCTGGTTATCTTCATGGATAACTAGCTAGATATTAAACTTTGGGGGCAGTTTGGCTTCAAGTAGATTTTAATAGAATTTAGCAAATCCACAAAATTCATACATTTTTAAATCCACCCGGTTTCTTAATGTTTGGTTGGATAAAGCCGGTGCGATAAATCCAGCTAAAACCTCAACCAAACAGCCCATTAATGTTGTTTCTTTGCCGATTCTCATATTCTAGAATTGTAGCAGGAGGATAGGGAGTTGAAGCAGGAGAGGAGAAAGCAATCTAACCGAGAGTCTGCCAGAAGATCCAGGTTACGAAGACAGGTATGCCGTAGAAATAAAATAATACACGTGAGACTCGGCACATTTGGGTGGTGGCACATAGGCATTATTCTCTTTTACTTTATTCCATGGAGTTTCTACTGTTTTTCTGTTATGTTTTCTTTTTCTTTAATAATTTTTTGTCCAGGCTGAAACTGAAGAGCTTGCCATCAAAGTCGGAACTCTGATTGCTGAGAATAGTACTCTAAGATCTGAAATTTCTCGGTTAACTAAAAGTTCTGATAAACTTAAATTAGAAAACTCCGCTCTAATGGTACTTCCAGATCCTCTACTGCTATTTTCTTTAATGACCGAATCTGATATCATATTTTAATTTACAGGAGAAATTGAGAATGGTGCAACTAAGTCGGGAAGAAAATATAATATCTGACAGTGTAGCTGACGAAGAGGTACCATCTATTATGGTAAAGAATCTCTTATCAAGAATAGATAACTGCAACCCTGATTCTGGTGCCAACCAGATGGAGTATGAGACTTATGAGGACTCCAGTGGCAAACTGCATCAGCTCCTTGACTCAAATCCAAAATCAGATTCCTTAACTGCAAGCTGACAATTCTCAACTATTTGAATGAAGAAAGGTCACTGCAAACTACTAACTCTTGACATAATGCTACTCTAAAAGACAACTAGAACTGATCAACTTGTATTGCAATTTTCCCTCGCAAGAAAAAAGGAAAAGAAATATAGGTATTAAATCTCCTTATCAAAGCCTGAGAAATGAGGTTTGTGGCTTTATATTATCAAGATTTTACTGTGTGCGCGCTATAACATGTTTAAGATCCATCCATGGTGTTTTATGTTTTTTGAAACCCATGTTAATGGTGATCATAAATTGCAGACACTGTTGTATATTTAATTTGAAAGAAAGATGCATGGCTTTTTGTATGGCTTCATTGATTTCTTCTGCTCTGGACCTTGATTTCTGGTAGTTTGTGATGATGCATTGAGGTTTAGTTTTAATTTTAAGAAGCTAATTAGGTAGGCAAACGCTTGATAACTTTCAGTGGATTCAAATAATAAGCAGTGATGTACTTCTCTCATCAGGAAGGGAATCATTTTTCTGCCGATTTTCTTTTTTTTACATTTATAATTTTGTATAATTATTGAAAATAAGATAATTTTAAAAATAAAATACAAAAATGATTGTAGCATATTGAAGTTATTTTCAATGCTAAATTTTGCGAACACATTTTCTTCATAAAAAAATGTTTAATGTATAAGCAAGGCAGCATAAATAAGGAGCATTTACATTAATACCACCCAATCCTTATGTATTTACATATTCAACCCCTAAAATTTATTTTTTACATTTATATCACTCAAATCATTTATCTCAGTATTAAAAATATCATTATTTTAATATTTAAAAAAGAATTACACTTTTTCATAAATAAAGCGACATGTAAAAATTGAAGTTTGGGATATATATTACTATTTTATAGAAGTTAATTACAAGTGTGATTGATCTCTAAACAATTGGAGGGATATCAGTACAAGCTAATTCTCAAGTCATTAGCCAAATCAAAGTTAAGGCCACAAAATCATTTTGCTTCCTGATTGTAAATATAATATTAGCATATGTTAGTAAAATTAATAGCATCATCAAATATTATGAACATAATATTTTTTTGTGTTACATCAATATTAATTATGGCACATCACCTTTTGTGATCATACATTATATTGCCTTTTCAACAATAAGAGATGTTATGGAAAAAAAAAAAACATGATACACATTTAAAATAGTTATAATTACTTAGAATAGTCATGGAGGGGTTAATGGGCATCATCCAACCTTTAAATAGAGATGGGTGTTGCATTTGTTGACATTGTAAATATCATATTTAATGATGCTATAGTAGAGAGTGAGGGCCATAAATAATAAGCATCATTAGAAAATGGACGATTTCACAAGGTTTTTAGAATTTAAAAGAAAATTTTAATTGTGCTAAAATTTAATAATAAATTAAATTCATAAGAATATAGTGATTTTTATTTGGAATATCTTTCTAGTTATTACAAACAGATGAGAAATGTTTAATCTTATGATCAAACTATAATGGGAAGAATGTTCAATCCTATGATTAAATTATAATGGAAAAAATGTTCAATCTTATGATCAATTTATGTTGTGAGATTCTCCATATAAACGAGTTGGTTGTGCTACCATGTGCAAACTTTATCAAGCAACTAATGATGTCCCCATAATTTTATTTTAGTATTGCCAATTTGTTGCAATGTCTTGTGCAAATATCATAAGTGGCAATCTCAAAAGCATGTTACCAGTGACTAATTGATGTGAATCAATTTTTTGATATTTGTCTTTGTAAATCCCGTACTTTTTCCTTATTTTGATGATTTTATGCTTTATGAAATGTGTTTTCATTTTGTTTTACAGAATATAGGTGTTAAGCTTGCTTTGGGGAGTTAAAGACGACAAAAGGGGCTAAAAGACCAATAGCTTATTTGTACTAAAAAGAGGGAGGCCCAAGCCCTTGCATGGATATGCCAAATGTGCACATTGCTTTAGTGAACGTCTAGCATGCCAATGTTGTAGCTCAGCATGCCCGCAGTAGTGCTTCATGCTTGATGCCCTATTCCGTGAATTGACAAAATTGGAAGGATTTCTTGTTAATTTTTGAGCTCTAACTATATAAGAACATGTAATTTAAGCATGTGGAGAATTCTTGAGTGTAGAGGCTTCTTCTTTTCCTTGTTTTAAAAGATTCTTTGTAAACCCTAGAATTTTCTCCATTAGTTCTCCCTAGGAGAAGATTTCTTGGTTGTTTTCTTTGAGAATTGTGGAGAGTTATTTGTGAGAGAGATTTATGTGCACCTGTATGAGGGAGATTTACAAATAGCTTGCATTGTACGGAGAGGACAACAACATGTTATACAGGGTAATTAAATCAGGTTTGAGTTTTATATACCTTCTTGTGTTGTTTTTTCTTAATATTTTTAATAGAAAACCCTATATTGATTACCTCATGCATAGTAGCTAATCCTTTTTCATACTTATGTGATGTATGACATGTGTTGAATTGATGTTTTGAACAATGTGTTTTTTCTATACTTTTTTCTATGCTTTGGATTTCCAATGTTGATTTTTTAACATCCATATCATAAATTACTCCTGATTTGTCCAATTAGAAGGTTAAAACAAGTTGTGATAAGAAACTTATAATAGTCGACTAGAAGAATAAGAAGGTTAATACGCATTCACATAGTGGAATATACATATTGCCAATAAGAGAGTGTAGCCTTGATATGGAATAGAGGATTCTTGGAAAGCCTTACATGGCCCCAAAACTATAACACAAGTTTTCAATCCTTCTTATCACCTATCCATAGGCTAAGAAGGATTTGTCCCTAGTTTTCAAGAACAACATAGTAAACTCAGAGGAAAAATATTGACGAATCACTAGACCAGTGCTAAAAGAGTATGAATATTTCATCTTTGATTAACTCTAACAAAACTTAGTTCTATTTTTTGATTTTTTAATTAGAATTTATAACATTTTACTTTCTAACAATCTGAATACTTCAAAGTAGACTAGCAGTATAGTAAACTAAAACTTATTCTATTAGAAAAGTTGACAAGTTTTTGTTGGATCGATACGTGGACTCAAATTTTATATATTACTTGATTGAAATGCATAATTACGTAGTTGACCTATTGCTTCGCAGCACTTTCAGGTATCACAAATCAAGATTTCAATAGTTGAATTAGAGGAAAATTGTTACCAAAAAAATTTTAAAAAACAAATTGAAAAAAAGTCACCATGCATTTTTATAATGTGATAAAATTTTGGAGTAATTTACTTTGACAAATTTGAATTTTTCATATTAAATTGCATATTAATGAGATATTGATGATGGAAGCAAAGGCTATCATTATGCAACTAGAAAGCAGGCCTTTTTGTGTGCCTTTATTGAGGCACATGATGTGAAATTTTTATGGTCACTTAGAATCCAATTCTAAGGATATTGACATCCGCAAACTCATAATGATACACTTAATCTTATATGAAGATTATCATTTTCTATAGTTGTATTTGATATTCATTTTAGCCAAATTGAATAAAATTGAATAATGATTTGATTTTATTTAAATGATTGCCTTGAAATCTATACAAAATTAGTTAGGATTTTATTTTATTTTATTTTTTAGTCTTTGCCATGGGGTGTACTTGGGACAGTTTATTGATAATTTTATTTTATTTTATTTTGGCTACTATCACTCTTCTTGTTAGTTATAATTTTGTAATTATTTTTCATAATTTTTTATCATGAGAAAATTGTTAATATCAAATATGTTAAGTGTGATTGATGCATAAAGCTATGCTCTTCTTTTTTTACAAACAAAAGTATCCAACACATGGAGAATAGATTTTTAATCCTCTATTTACAATATTTTATAATCACACAAATTAGTGAGTATGTAAAGGCCTTTCAAATATTAATCCGTTTTGAGCCCATGGACAGTAATAGTGAGCATTGGAAAAATAACTCATTTAGTCTTCTTTATATATAAAGTAATGTACTGAACAAAATTCCTAAATAAATGTACGTAACAAAAAAAAAAGTTTTTATTAGAATTTTTAAATAGAGGTTTTTACATTCCTATCACTTAATAAAATAGAGAAATTTACATCGCCACTTTTCAATTCGTCACTCATCATTATTTCTTCACATCAGTTGCTCGCCTCAGTTGCTCATCACCTCCTAGCTCGTCCCTCACTTGATCTAAAATGTCCATTTCATTTGCTCCTAAATCAAAAGAGACATGGTGGATAAGGAAGTGGTGGCGAGCTCTATTGAAGCTTCCATAAGTATTTCCATGTTATTATACTTCAATATATAGATTGATTGTAAATAAATATGTGTCCTTGTTTAATGGTATACTCTAATGGCTAAGCGATTTATAACCCTAAATTGTAGATTTTCAATTATGTATAGTAGTTATTTATTGTCACAACATTGTAAGAAGAAAAGTATGAATCAAAATGTAAAATTTGACTTGTATTATAGCCTCTTAAAAAACCCAGGTATCATATCCTTTCCCAAAACCACCAGATCCCATCTTTAGCCCGTTATAAATGGCACATTGGATTGATGGTCACTCCGACCTAGTTAGCTTTGCACTTGGTTCAACTTGCTACCTCGACACGGTCAGCCTTGCACATTAGTTTGATCGGTCGCCCTGACACGGTCGACCTTTCATATCGGTTTGACCGACTGCCCTGACACAATCAATGTCACATTGTGGCCCAACCAATTACCATCGATCCAATCAATTAGTTTACATTTGCATTTGAATGTTGCATAATTGAGTGCTCATTTTAGCTTGTGTTGAATTGCTTGTAACAACACATCCACATCTGATACACTCATTCTGCATCTTGTGAACATATGTCCCTACATGTTCATGGCTAGTAGTAATGCTTCTTTCAAGCATGATAATTAACATATTAGCCCATGATATACTCATGTCATGTACACATGAATTCCTTCTGTGCACACACTTGTAATTGCACGGAATTGTTTCTTGATTGTTCATGCATATTTGAATTGCATTCAAATGTTTGTTCACACACTTCCTTGGTCTCTGAATCCATCTCTCGGACCACTGCCTCCTTGGCAACTCAACCACATTTTCGGGTCATATCTCTTTGGCTTCTGAACCAATTCCTCAGGTTATGCCTCCTTGGTATATGAACCCACCTTTTTGAGTCATTGCCTCCAAGGCATATCCAATCTTTTGAGTAAATGCCTCCATAGTACATCTACTTGAGCCAACGCCTCCAGGGTATGCTCACCCTTTGAGTTAATGTCTCCACAGTACGCCACTCCTTGAGTCAATGCCATCATAGTATGCTCAC